CTTTATGGAATTCCAAACAAAGTTCATCTCCTACTCAATTCCTAAGTTAAAGCAGATCACACGACATAACTTATAACTTCTGCAAAGGTAGGACGAGTTCCTAATGATATTGGCCTCCTAAGTCGGCCATGTGTAAAACCAAATCATACAGGGGCCAGTGCGTGGTGTAATGGTTAAGGCATTGGACTTCCTTCCATATTACCGACCATGGTTTGAGTCCCAGATCTGATAGCTTGAAATTCACACCAGGCACAATTACTGGCTTTTATAGCAAAAGGTTTTATAGCAGACAAACATGGTTCCCTCCCTTGATGAAGAGGAAATAGCTTTTGCTGTGGCTGGCTGGAGCTGTATCTTCAACTGAGTACTTTGTACTTTCAGGGAAACTAGCAAAGGCAAGTACTTAGAGCACAGTTGAAGTCAGGTTGGCAAAAGATGCAAACATGGCTCTCTCGAGGCAGGGGAGTTCACAGAGGGGAGGGATAAGGACTGGATTCAACTGATGTCTAACCTGGACTCAGGGGAACAATCAATGAGCAGGAAAATGTTTATTTCTGCCCAGACCAGTGTCCACAAGGGAAATCAGGCAGTCAGGCTTTAGATTAATAAGAAGGAAATGTGCCGCATGTACAGCTACAGGGACCTGTAAAGATCTCTCCTATTTTTATCAGACTGTGCAGCCTTGAGCTGGCTGGAACATGGTTGCTGCTTTTGCCGTCCGAAGTCAGACTATGGGACCAGTGCTTCACTCTGTCCTTTTGTCCTGCTGGAGACAAAGCTTCAGTCTTCATTATTTAGACTCTTGCAAAGGAATGTAGATGCCTAAAGATAAAATATATTTTCAGGTGAGTCTGAGAGCCTGGCTGAAAAGGTTCAGAGAATGGAAGCTGAGAATGTTTTCAAAAGGTCACCTAAGAGCCCAGTAAACAGCCCAGAGCCCAGAGATCACTGTGTTTGCTTAGAGGATGAATTTGTATTGGATTTATTTAGTATGTTAAAAATAGAAGTGTCAGAACCAGCACATGTTGTGGTGGTTAAGGCGCTGGACTCCAACTTGGGTTGACTGCAGTTTAAGTCCCAGACCTGGGGTCTGAAAATCACAGCAGGTACATGTGCATGCATGCCCAAGAACCCAGAAGACTAGAGAGAAGGGATTCAGTGTGGCCATCCTACCTGAGGGAATGCTTTCTCTCTCTCTCTCCTCTCTCTCTCTCTTTCTTTCTCTCTCACTCCCTCCGTCCCGCCCTCTCCAGTGAGGCTTGTCCTATGGCAAAAAATAATCTAAGTGTCTCATTGCCTGTTGGCCTTTCGGCTAACATCAAGTGGCACCTGTTCTATTCGGTTTAATATCTGTAACATACTCTATTCAGGGACAATATATTAAATCAGGTTTTGGAGTAGGGAGATGAAATGGGGGGCTTTCATCATCCAATCCACGCATTGACCTGGTATTACAACACCTCCAGGAGTGTTGCACCCCCTTTGAGGGATTAAAAAGAATTACCCAGGGGTCAGCAAGTGGTGTTTAAGGAGCTGTTTTCCCATATGGTTGACTGTAGTTCAGGTCCCAGACCCAGTGGATTGAAAGACACACCAAGTATCCCCCAAATCCCAAGAGTACTTAGAAGGGATTGCACTGGGCAGTGATTTCTCACTTTCCCTCTCACTGTCTCTGTCTGACAAGCATACACTCCCCATAGCAAAAACCTAAAATGAAAAAAATGTTTTAGACTACAATGCACGGATAAGATTAAAAGAAGTATTTGATGAGACTGAGGAAGGAGTAAGAAGAGTTAAGTGGTTTCAGTAAAATTAGGGCATGTCGGGGCCAGCATCCCTCCAAATCAGATACTCAGTTTTCTTACTCCTTCCTGAAAACCCCCATAGGCATGTTCTTATTATTTATTTATTTATTTTTTAGTGGTCTTTGCCTTAGGACACTTGTGCTACTCAGAGAGACAGAGACAGTGAGACATCACTTCCGGGAGATGGTGGCCACACCATAATCCCTTCTCCTCCATTCTCCTGGGATTCTGAGCAAACATGAACACAGGCCTAACAAGAATTTTCAAGCCACCAGGTCTGGGACTCACATTGTGGTCAGTCATGTGGGAGTCCAGTGCCATAACCACTACGTTACCTGCTGGCCCAAAGCGGGGCTTCTATGTATTAGGTTCTCTTGATTTTATTCTTTCAAAGAAATCATTGGAGTTTTTTTTTGCTAAGTTTACCATTTATTATTTCCTATGATAGCTAGCTAGTTACCTTTCTCATAAATAGATGATAGATGATAGATAGATTGATAGATAGAGATATTTTATGGGATAATATATGAAACTATTAAGTTGGTATGTCCAAGTCTACCAGTTGTTCAACTTGCAGAGTCATCTCCCTCAAGTACATTTTTTTAAAATTAAATAATGCACAAGCTTGAGAGAGAGACAGAGAGAGAGAGAGAGAGAGAATGAGAAGTCACCCCCTAGGGGAGATGACCACACCACAATCCCTTCTCCTCCATTCACCTCTAGGGACTTTGGGCATGCACACACGCATGCCGAGTGTCATTTTTAAGCCACCGAATCTGAGACTCAGCCACACGGTTTGCCATGTAGGATGCAGTGCTTTAACCCCCATGTCATCTGTTGCCCCTCCCTCTTGTTTTTAAACTTAACAACTTCTGCATCATCAATAGTGATTGTATTTTTGTACATTTCACTATTTTATTGCATTGGCAGAAAAGGGATTATGCATATTTGCATAGAAAAATCACAAAAAAAGAAAATCATGATTATTTTAACTGCTCAATACTTCACATTACTCCTATTCCTACTATCCTTTTGCCTTTTGTAGATGAATTGAATTTTTAAAACAGAAACAGTGACCTCTCTATCCTGGGGAAAATATTCTTTTGCATTCATCTGAAAGTCACTCAGCGGTCCTCCCTATGACCATTACTTGGATGGCCTATAACATGACAGATTCTCAATCTGTGTTACTCAAATGCATTATACCATTGTTTAATGGTCATTCAGTGGCATGGTGGCTAAAGTGACTGGATCCCACATGGCCAACTGTGTGGTTTGAGTCTTGAATCAGGTGGCTAGAGAATTACAAAGGGGGTGTGTGTGTGTGCCCCAAATCCTAATGGGAGAATGCAGGAAAAGAGACTGTGGTGTGGCCATCCTTCATGAGAGGTGTTTTCTCCCTTTCTCCCTCTTTTGTCCTTCTCCAAAAAGCCTGAGCACCCTCTGGAAAATTAAATGAATAAATAAATAAATAAAAACTGTACAATGTCTGACCTTTAGGGAAAGGTTGACAAGAAGACAGGAATTCCCAATCTGATGTAGTGTATGAAGAAAGGATCAGATCTGTACCCAAAATGTAGAAATCAATTTCTTGACTCCAAAACATAAATTGTAGCATTTTACATGTGTGCATTACACTCTTTTGAGTGAAAAACAGCCATGTTGCTTTTCTCTTTCCTGGTAGTTATCTCTGCCACATGGAACCAAGGAACAATACAGAAATTTCAGAATTCCTTCTTCTGGGTCTTTCAGAGGAACCAGAATTGCAACCCCTCATATTTGGGCTTTTCCTCTCCATGTACCTGATCACTGTGTGTGGAAACCTGCTCATCATCCTGGCCACCA